GAGATCACTGATCCCCCCTCGAGACCAAGTGACGCTCTGCGGAATAGCCACCGGTTTTTTTTCTTGTTGACACGCTCTCTCTCTTGCAGTTTTTCTGTGAAATTGTTTACTTGATTCCTCACCCGACGAAATTGGTCCCGAAAATGAATTGTAGAATAATGGTGACTTGTTAGCACGCACACTTCGCAGAGTTGTTGTTGTATAAGTACGGACATAAGCACACGCATACAGTCTGTCTCCCGAAGGTCAACGGCCCGTAATGTGCATTGTAGAACGCCTAGTGGATTTTACTGTACTCCAGTGAAAAATGGACCATGGACTGAGAGGTTTGGTCTGCTGGTAGTCTGTTTGTTATGACATTCGATACGATCTGGTTTGACAGGCCTGGTCCCGTTTATTGTGCCTTTTTATACTTGCACTTGGCCAGAGATGGGGAGGGCGGTCGCTTCTGATCACCCTCTCTTTTCTCCCTGGACAATGCTATCTATACATTGATAAATCGTGTTTGTTTTTTTTCAACTTCCCGACCCGCTTCCGGAGTTTTGTGATGTTCAGCTGTTGATTGTTTTCAAAACATTCGTCATATCAACCAGAGAGTATCTACAGACGTTGANTCCACACGAATAGGGTAGAATAAAAGCGTGTTAAACATACTTCGATGACACGTTACAAATATGCACCTTGATTTTACCTCTAAGACGACATCGCAGTCATTGTGGGCCGCATGCAGAATGTGACATGTTGTTAACTATGACAACAATATTTCAAATACCTAGCCATTATGATGTTTTATGATGTTGCACATAATCAGCAATATGTGTACCACGGTTGGCTTAACCTTGGTTTTGCTGTTATTTTCGATGTTCCAAAACATAGTAAATTCTCGCATAACAATTTAGCAGAGATGTGATAGAATGAACTGGCCTGCATACAAGTTAACAAACCAAAAGCGGCTTCTCTAAATTCGGAACTGAATAGGCAATTTGGGAACTTTTTAATCGACGTTATCCATTGCTGTATCATAAGAATTCATATTGTTAAAAGCTTCTTGAGGCTCAGACGAAGAAAGTACTGATCCGTCTAACTGTTCAGGGAGATGCAATATCTGACTTGTTAAACAAACATCTGACGCGTGCAGCGAAGTGAACCTACAGCGCAGCTCGATTGTCCTGTGTGCTCACAGGCTCGCCCATCATCAAACATAGGCTGCCTACACTGGCCACGTCTACGGTTATTCACGCTTTTCGGTGCGTTTGTAATGCAACGTACATTGGCCGCACGGTGAGACAACTATCTCAAAGAATGAAGGAACACTGCCTACGTTGGTTAGGGCAAGGGGGCACTGGGAGCATAGAAAGCGCCATTTTTGGTCATCTATAGTGAATACAGATCACGGAATTAGACCAGAATCTGCGTTCAGTTTATTTTATCGTGTTCCCCAAACTCTTCTAGGGCACTGCCTTTACACACACTAGCCACCGCTGATGCGATGGGCATCCGCCTTTGCGCAGAACTATGCGCACATAAGCGACTGATCAAATCTCTCCACTTATCCCGACCCCAAATTAATCACCATCACCACCACCACCACCCATCAGCACCAACACCAATCCCGGTCAATCCCACCCAAACACAGACATATGTGGCTCACAGCATCCCTCCCCTCTTCTCATCCCGAATGACCTTGCGATCCAGCGTGAAAATGTGCCCCCACCAGCAACAAACTCTTATATGATGTGTACAGTTGTTCGCCTTCAAACGTTTGCGCGGATACCTCAATAACACGTTCGAATGACCGGTAAATTCATGCACTTTTGTAGTGGTTCTTTTTTAATATGATTCTAAAGCACGTGCAAATACCAATTGCTTTTTTCTTCAGAATTTGCACAAAAACAATTTAACACTAGAAATATCGGCTCATAGTAACGACATGATTACGTAAACATCATAGATTCCATATCATTCAAATTTTCATTTCAAATTCAAGCTAGGAATCTCTCATTCCAATCACCACACAAATATTCGTTGATCCGTTTTACAGTCATATCGGATCGACAAACACGTTTTGCTGCGCAACATTTACTCATTTGTGTCATTTCCCTTATCGCGCAGTTTTAATTATCGAAATCATCTCATGCAAAAGGGCTAAAATTAGGGTTCGTTCAACGAAATCCACATATAATTGTACACAAACTCACTTCTGTCGAATTTCACGATCGAAACTAGTTTTTGTGTACAGCGTTCCATCTTTCGGATCAATCCGAAAATATTCCATACCGGCATTGTCAAGAAAATACTCGATTTCCGCATTTCGCCCACTGTCTAGATCTGTAGCCGTAAACCGTTCCAGCACAGTATCGATGGGTCTGTTTTCTTCCACAGAAAGCTGTATATCATCCGGGGGGGGGGGGGGGGNACGCGAAGCGTGAACGAGAAATAAAGATTTTGCAGTTAGGTTTTTTCATTTGAGCGTGAGGTTGGGGAAGTGGTGATTGTGGTGGTGATGATGATTCAGTTGACACATGAAATGCGTAAAGATTCTCACAAATTGTCAGCTGTATGCGCATGGCTGAATGAAGCGGACACATAAATCATTATAATTCTGGAAACAGAGACAATTTGGAACCTTGAACAAACTAATTTCATTTGACTTCAGCTCCATTCAACCGCACTCATTCTGATCCTGGTTTCATGCCATGAGGGTAGTGTGACACAAAATGCAAAGCATTTTGTCATTTGGAGAAGCAAAATCAATGCCTGTGCGAACCGGCTATGGCACACGCATCAGACAGAAAATAAGTGTTTAGTTTCATTCGTGTTGGTGAGGAACGAACAAACACACGAAACGCTTTTGGTCTCGTATTTGTTTGAAGATGAATAACAAAGAAGGAGATCAGTTGCTGCGGGACTTTACATCTCCAATGGTGCCATTCAAACCTCCTCAGTCATGAGGTTCCCAACTGATACGTTCTCATGATAATAAGTTCAGTTGTTGAGCGTTTTGGGGATGCCAAAGGTATGAAGGGACCTGTGTAAAAGTAAAAACTATTGGTCAAAGACATGTAGCNACATGTAGCCGAAACCGGCTGCAAGTGGACAAACTGACTGCAAACAAGTGGCCTTCAATCAGCGGTTATTGGAACCAAAGTCAATGATTAGGGCCATCCTTGTACAGATGTTGTGGCGTTCTGTTTATTCTTATTAAGTACTATGCATTAACTATGAGACAGAAGATTTTGCATCCAACTTAGTCTACACAAAGCTTTGGTGTTCATGAATCATCATGCACTGATTTCCCGCATCTGATCAACAAAGTGTTCGCTCNATGCATAACGACCCTGTTAGAAAGCTTATTATCGCAGGTATTACCGGGACAAATCTTTGATAATGCTCAATAAAGCTTCTGTTTGTTTATCTTTTAAATGTAAATTTCATTCTTTTTTCCAAAAGACAGTCTTCATATGTGCGGAACAAATCGATTCCTCTCTTCAAATCACTTTTTCCGCCTACATAAGGACATTTGCGTGTGTGTGTGTGTATGTGTGTGTGTGTGAAAAATCATGAAATAGTAGCATTTCTATTCACAGATTTGGAATGGGAAAATTGGATAAAAATAACCAATTATGTGAACACCTGCTCCGACATGTGTTCAAGGGTGCCTACTACTTGTTACAGTCGATACAGTCACCTGGTTTGTAACACTACACTGCACAGGTCCGGCCGCAAGGGGAGGCACTAGTTCCTCTCTGTTATGTTCTCTAAAGCTAAAGCTCGTGAGAACCTTCCAAAGGGGGAAAACTACACGCAAACACATATATAAATGTCGATGATTGACGGTGGTTGGATTGTACTATCAGAGAAGGGCCTTATAGTGTAAACTAATGGCGCATGTCACTCCAGGGACGTCATTTGGGGTATATGTGCCATGGTAGCCTAGTCATCGTGGACGGTATTGCACAACGACCGGGGAATCCGGATGCGTTGGGCTGCAATGATAACATTAGTCAAGGAATTGTTGCCACTCCCATAGAACGCACCTAACAGAAGTAGTATGAACCCTCCCGAACGGTCTGAGATGACATTGTGTTTACAGGTTCCAATAAACACTGAATAGTGCCGACGGTAAGCCTTGTTTCCGAAAATATGACATCGGTGTTTTCCTTTTTTGTCGTTATTGTTAGTCAGCGAGGTTTCAATCTACTCCTATGTTTGTACTACTCAATTTTTCCCTGATTCGGGAGTATATATAACGGAAATTCACTAAATAACGTAAATATTTTTGATTATGGGAAATCAAAAGGTTTTCAGGAACCACAAGACTAAATTTAAAAAAATTTAGAATGGCACTTAAATAAATGATTTGTCTTCTACCGAACGGAAGCTTCAATAGAGAGCTAATACACGTCATAGTGAAAGTAAATCTGTGCTAAATGTAGCAGAGCTGATTGTTTTCAGTAATTCTCTCAAATTTGGTTGTGTATTCGAAAAGTTGGAAAGTTTAGAAATCAGATTTAGGTGTTTCTATACATTGGTAAAGAACGGTACCTAAGCCATATGTTACTTTTCTTGGTCGCTGGGAGGAAGACGCTAGAACTTATCCAAAATTTGAACCGCGTTAAACTTACTGATCAGAATAGAAGTTTCTTTTTCCATGGGATCCGCAGACTTATTTCAGCTCGTTCTGATGCCCTTTGTTTGTTATGAGGCTTGCTGTAGTCCGTAGTCATGGCTCTTACGGCAGTTCTTACACTTTACAATACTGGAAAAATTATGAGATCGATTTTAGTTACGTAAAGTTATGTGACGTACGCTAAATGGCTGCCATTTAAGGTAATACGTTCTTTCATAACCTTACCACTGGTCATGCAGGTATTAAGTATTTGATATCTTTGGATGCTTTTCTTATTACCATGTATTTTGAATACACTATTTGTCAATATCATCGCAGATGGTTCTTCGCTCCACAACACGAACACAGTGTAGACTGAGCGTCATGAACACCATGCGTTGTTGAAATGCAGCAACGTGCTGGGAGCTACCTACATTACACGACTCGGTTCCTCGTGTCTCTGCCAGACGTTGGCCGGATTCAATAAAGATGCGCTTTTAGAGATTCGAAAAAGAAGTGGATAAATGGGTTTGCCCGCTCTTGGCATTGAGTAACCTAACGATATTTCTGTTCTACCTCCGGTGTTATTTCTATCCACGGAAGTCAATAAAATACTCCAGTATCAGTCTTAGCGTCTAATCCTTCCTTTGTATAGCATTCTGATGCACGTGTATCCGTACCTTCGCAGTCGCGATCGAAACCGTCGTCAGCTGTAGTGAATTCGCCACACATCCAAGTAATTACGCCGATTGCGTTAAAATAGTTCCGGTGAAACATCGATACTCCTTCCTCTTCGTATTTAGGTTGCAACCGTACGCTGTTTTCAATGTGAATTTAAATGGTGTAATCCCCATATGCATAAAAGTGCATTTTCGTCTAGACTTCATCCTATAAATTTTTAAGGACATAATAAGTTTAGGGGGAGCTGGGTGGGGAGCTATAGCGAAACCTCCGTTCTCTTTCGACAATTCACTGAAAAAAGCTTTCATTTATTTATATGGAAATGAGTTTATTCCGGATGACCTTATATTGTGATGGACCCGGTTTAATAGATCATGTGTGAAAAACCGAAAGACCAGCCTCATCCTAGGATTATCAGTAGAATACACTCGATAGATTCACTTCACATTATAGCAACCTTTTTTATTTTAAAAGTTAAATTGTACGAGTCGTGGCATAAAAGTGATCTTTTGGGGTTTTCTGTATCACTTGAAAGGATCGCGTAGCGCAGGGCGCATCGTGGATCTCTATGGGGTTCTCTATCTCCTCATCCGCTCAATCGGACCGCTCATTACACTCACTTGATAGTTTGCTTGCGTAAATCCCGGCGCATTGTCATTCACATCGGCCACATGAACCCGGATGGTGAATCGAGAGGTTAATGAAGGCTGACCGAAATCCATGCAGACAATCTGAAATGAGACAATACGGACCGATTGTAGGCATCCATGTGAACGAGAGAGGAAAAAACATTTAAAACTATATCTGATGAGTTCATAACATGGTGCAATACTTTTGGAATTCATATTCCACTGATTGATAACACTAACTGTGGAATAAAATGACACGTGTGGTCGGTCCAAACGTGCACTTTTCATTGCACTTGACCTTTGCCAACCGCAGTCAACCTCGCC